TCTAATATGAAATTCTAATAATAATTCAATATCTAATTTTACATTCATATTCGTTACTTACACATTAACAAAATCTTTGGATAATTTAAATCTAGAGGTAGTTTATATGCAAGCTTTAATGGATTAACAAACTCTATGAAGAATAGGGTTTCTGCCAAAAAAAAAGGTAATCTACAACAAACAAATATTCTTGTCGACGCTTGATCAATTGTCTTTTGTTTTCGAGCGAGATATAATATTTGTTGAACCATAAAAATCATTCAATCCATCTTGATTATTGTTTTTTCTTTTCATTAGATTTTGATTATTAAACAAATTCTTTCAATAGGTGCATTTGGACATCTCGCATCAATTGCGGATCTCCTTTTGTTATAGGTGGAATCATACTTTCCAAACATCTTTCTGTACCTTTATTAAAATATGTCCAAACGATGTTGGGAGGTCTTTCAGCACTCTTATCAATATATATATTTTTTTTTCGATTTCGAATTTTGAAAATTTTAATTGGTTGAAATCGAAATGTTGGGACCGTGACGTGTTATCAAACCTAATTCGCCATTTCCAACAAAAGTAATAAAATATAAAATATAAAGATATTTTTATTGAATTTATATCAAAATAATTTTATTTCAAATCCTAGAATTTTCTTTATTAAAAAATAAAAGATCACGAGACTTTATATTCCAATTAATTTTTAGCCTGAATGATGGATGTTAGGCCGAATCATATGAAACCTTTGGAATTTCTTATTGTTGATTAATTAGTTTAGGTTTATTATTATTTTAATTTAATGATTAAAGTCGGATCCTAGTAACAATAATAACGGATGATAAAGGAAAATGTATAAAAGAATTGACGAACCTAATGGAATAATCGAAGAACAGAATCAAGGTAATATGTAAATTTTGAATATTTAAATAGATGATATTAAATATTTGAAAATTAAAGAAAATACACCGTCTCTAGATTCGAATACAATGTCTAACTATCTTTGCAAAACTTAAGGTTACCTCGGTCTCCCTAAATAGCCTTTGAATTTTTACTAAAATTGCATTTCGGATTCATGGCCTTTTTCGGGGATGAAAGGACGCCGAAACTATATTAATATTAATATAGATGGAAGAACTAATTAAATTGGTCGTAATTAGTCAATGATAAAATGAATAAATAGAAAATTAGCGTAATAAAAGTTCTTACTATGTATTCATTTTATTTTATTTTCGGAAATGATTATCAAGGAAATTACTTACTCTTTCTCTTCAAAAAATTGTATTTATTATTTAATTAATCTTTTATAAATCTAAGAGTACAAACAAACATATATATGTGCCAAATAATAACACCAACTGCTTACATTGTTGTACAAATAGAGAATTCCACCAAAGTATAGTCGTCGATGGACAAAGAATATTTTACGCTTCGATTTGTGCTTTATCTTCGTATGCATGCAAATAAGGAATTTGAGAAGAGTAGAACCAAAACCTGGTCAAAGAGAATACTTGGCAATTGTAAAACAGTTGCAAGCGCCAAATAGATTAATAGGAAAAATATTAAAGTAGCTCAAATGACGCTTGGCTTCCAATTTTATTGCTGACTTTTGTGACTTATGGCATCATCATCGTCT